GTTCTGCAGCAAAAGGACTGCCTATACCTGCAGTGGTCCTTCAGCATGGAAAATAATGACGAAATTAAAGCAAATGGTACTGACTGACCATTTTCTGGCCCTGCTGTAGTCACATGAGGCCTGTGGTGTATTACCAGCACGCTGCCAGAGCCAGCTCAAGGAAATGAAAACGAAGTTTCCTTCATCTGGAAGTGCCATATTAGCCCAGTGCTGTGGCTGTTTGTCCGGCTGTGACAACTGACAAACTTAACTATGAAAACAGTGACTTAAAAATGGAAACAGGCCGGGACTGTTTCTGTAGAAGGGGCAAAGGTGGGGGTGTGAGAGCTCAAGTGTCTGTCTGGTTCCTGGTGGAACTGGGGTTTCTTTGCTGTAAGGCTTCAAGTCACTGTGCAGAGGTGCTGAAGAGAAGGACAGGCAGGGAATGCAGAGGCTGTTTGGGAGGCTGATGAGAGCATGAATTCAAGATCCAACACTATAACATTGCAGACCCTCTGTATAGAGTTTATGCCAACAGTATAATAATGCTGGACTGCACTTTGGCCTTGAGTTTTTATTTTTGTGCCTTTCTTGATGTTTCATGCCTGTCGTGAAATTTGATCATTTTGGAGTTCTAATGTGACTAATTCTTACTGCTCTTAAAATAGCAGCTCAGTTACAGTCAATGCACAGCAATACTTAGGAGTAGATGTGTCTGGGAAAGAAATTGTTAATTCTGTGAAGACAAGGGGCCGTTATTACATTGCTTCACCATCCTCATAGTGCTTTGCTGTGTTTTGCATGTCCCCAATACCGATTCCTCTCTGGCAAGCATGCAGTTATTTGCATTCCCATGCACTGAAGGTGGTTTGTCTGAGAATGACTGCAGTGGGGCAGTGCAGGAGCACAGGGAGCCGATGTAAAACCTCTGCCCTTCAGTGCGAGCAGGAGATGCAGAAAGCCTGTGTGAGTGCTCATAATCCAGTGCCCCTTCTCTCTGAATGCTGACCTCTATTCCTGTAGCTGCATTTGATTTCTGCCAGGCTTTTCGTGACCCCACACGGCAGCACAGTCCCAAATTAATAAGGATCTGTGTTGACAGCTGCTCCAGAACCTTCTGACCTCTTTCAGGGATTTTTTTTCCCCTTGTGTGCAGGATGTTGGATGCAGCACCCCAGGATTCCTTCTGGTGGTTGCTTTCCTGTGCAGGCTCAGGGAATCTCTGGGTTTTTGCTTTCTTTTGCAAATTAACTGCTGCAAGGACAGTTGTTTGTTTACTGATGAGATGTGGCTACTGAAGGAGTGGAAAGGAAATGTCTCCTGTTGTGTTCTACCAGTGGAGGCTGTGTCTGGGTCTCTTCTTGAATATGACTTAGAAATGGCATTGAAACCGTGCATCAAGGTGTGCTCCTTGCGTTCCAGTCACGGTGACAGCATTAATGAAGGATTTGCTCTTTATTTCTTTGCCAAACGCTGGCCGGGGTTTTGTTCTCTGCACCTTTGTTATTGCGGTAATGGCGAAGTTTCACCGTCGTGGTGCTTCCACGAATCGCTTTTGAGAATTTGCACGCCATCTGTGTGCAATAATAAAGCTTTTAGCAACTCCAGATTGCTGTGCCCGTGGTGGGGAGCGTGGATGGAAGCCAGCCCAGTGAATTAAGGTCATGTCCCTACTGGGGACAGAAAGCAAGCTCTAGGTAAAACGATCTAGACAATCCCTGGGAGAGGCATCTGTTCCTGGTAGGACTTTGGCAATCGTGGTTATGGCTGTTAATCTTCAGGCTTCCAGCCACTGAAGGGTAGGAGAAGAGGTGTGGAGACTCACTCCAAGCATTTATGGACTCCTGCAGGAAAAATAGTCCATGTTCTTGACAATCATAGGTGGATGGGAAGTATTGTTGAGTAGAAAAACTGTAAAATGAGCCACGTGGGTTAAAAAAAGATAAGTAAACATGGTCCAAAGCAAAAGAGATAACAGACACTTCTCAGATAAGGTTTTTAAGAAGGATTAGTACAAATAGTGAATCTCTCAGTGGAGAAGTTTTTCAGAATACCAACGTTTTAAGAACCTGACATTTACAATATTGAGGAGAAAGTAAAAAGCTCTTAGATATAGGTCTGTGTGGGAGGAAATGTCGAAAGGAAAAAACCATGAACTGTTGTACCAGATAAATACACTATATTAAGAAATTACAACATGAGAGGGACATCTTGTGGCACAAATAAAATAAAAAATAATAGTCCAGTGGCAGGAGGAGTATCCTGGAATGTTACCCCGGGGTCACCATTTCTGGTAGAAATTCCAGGCCTGGCAAGAGATTAATTTGTTCCAGTCTTTCTTACAGCAGGAGTCTTGCTACACACTTTCTCATCTTCCCACTTTTTTGTCTCCATGAGCAGAGGATTATAGAACACAGACGTTCTACCAAATATACTTGTCTGTCTTGGTGCAAATGATACTAGTTTTTAATGAAGAAATAGATTGAAATGTCACTACCATTATTTGACTGAATGTGTTGTCATCAGTAGCATAAAATGTGACAGAACTTTAGCTGTGGGTGGTTAACACTTATTTTCCACATGTATCACAATCTTATTTCCATATGTTCGTATAAATTAAAGAGAATAAATTTAATTTGCGGGAGTACAGAGGGCCACGGTTGTGTACAATCAACTGAAATTAATCCCGCCACATGTCTGTGAATCTCGGTGTAGCCTTGTCAGCGCGTCTGAACCTTGAGATCCTGCCTTTGATTAGTTTTGATCACGTGGTGATAAAAGTTTAATTATCTTTCTCCAGCAGTGGTTTTTCCCAAGAGTTGTCGCTGTAACTTTGACTGATTTCTTGAGTACCTGTTCGTTGCCTTAGATGAGGTCGTGCTGTACCTCGGTGTAGAGGGGGGGAAGTCTCTCCAGCGCAGCAGTTTTCAGTCACAGCAGAGCTCAGGCACCTCAGTCAGTGTCTTCTGGAAGAGGTTCTGGGCTGGCTGTGCCCCAGAGCAGAGCTGGGGTGGCAGGCCCTGACCCCCAGCCCCATCACCTTCCAGTTGCACCTCACACCCTTGGCCGCTTCGGGCTGCTGCTCAGGGCTGATCACCAGGAGGAACTTGAGGTGTTGCTGCTTTGGGGGTTGGAAACAAGCTGGAGTAAGTTGGCAGTAACAGAGTTACTGCTCTCAGCTTCAGGGAAACAATAGAATGGCAGTTAAAGGGAAAACCAGACAGAAATACCTCTGGGCTGGATGGGTGTTGAGCTTGTACTTCTCATAAAAACCTGAACGTCGGCAGGTTTTGATTTCACGGTACATCTTCTGTTTAAAAATTCCTGCAACCAGATGTTGTTTTGGTCAGGCTCACAATTTCCATTGCTACCTTGTTTTTATACATTTGAGATAGAAATTTCAATGTGTGTTGTTTTGGTGGGGATGTTTATGATGTGTCTATTCGTGCCTAAGGATCCAGAAATACTATGTGAATCAATCGGTATGTAAATCATTCTCTGCTTTGGAAAGATAGGAGATCATTTCTCCAGCAGTAATTCAATCATAGCTTGTTTTTTGTAAAACCACAATACCCTTGCCTAAATTTAATTCAAAGTTTATGTTTCCTAGCTACAGTTCTAGTACTTCAGTTGCCATGAGTAGAAACACCATAAATTGTGACAAAAATGAAGGACAAGAGTAAAGGGATCTTTTTGGGGTAAAGATAGGGTGGAAGCTCCAAGGTTTTGTTTTCAGGCTTTTACACAAGATGAACTAAAAATCTGCCAAGTCATGCTGTTGTCCAGCACAGATTTTTGACCAACACAAGTGTTTCATAAAATGTGGAGTTCTTTTGCTGCTTACAGGTCAGGTACAATCCTGAGCATTGCAGCGTGGTTGCTTTGGCCACAATTAATTATTCAGTAGGAATTGCACAGAATGACTAATATTTAACTTAGGTTAACCAAAACCTGGGGTTTGTTGGTGTTGGTTGAATTCAGTGTGTGGATTAGGTCTGTAAGGATGCCAACTGCACACTTTCATGTCTGACTAATGATTTAGATTGCCAAGGAGCCTCACTCCAATCTCTTATTGGTTTGATCCGATCAAAGATCAATTCCCAAAGCAAGGGGCCTGTCCTAAGCTGTGGCAGTGGGGCAGTTTGGTATCGGGGCAGAGAATGAGCTTCCAAATCCCATGGGAACGTGTTTTCCAGCATGCCACCTGTGTAAAACACTCTTGACAAACAACAAACAATACCCATCTCTTGTTATGCCTCTCCGCCTTCAAAGAGGTTTTCCTGGTTGAATAGTGTGATGGTGTTAGCTCATGGTGTGAACACAAGTTTAAGAGCTGTGCTGTGAATCTCTCACGTGTTTGCTGGCTGGAATGTCGTGGGTTTCTGGTTTGGTGTGGGGTGTCCTGGGGACTGTCAGGGACAGCAAGTGCTTTTGCATTCTGTGTATGTGTGTGGAGGGAGGTGCCTGCCTACCAGGAGCTACATCTGGATTAACGGTGGGACACCATTCTCAGCTTTGCCCTTGGTGTCAGGCGTTCCTGAACAGCACGCACCACGCCTAGCGAAGGCGCGTTTATTCCAGAATAGGTATTTCCCCCAAAGGGAAATGGGATGGAAAAGCCTTAAGTGACGACGAACCGCGTGAATTCACGCCCGTGTGATGGGCGGTTGTCGCTGGCCGCGCAGAGGTGCCGGGAGGAGGAGCAGGGAACATCCCCGGGTGTGTTCGTGTGTGTGTCCCTGCAGTACCGAGGTGGGGGTGTGTGCGTGCCTGCAGTACGGGGCAGGGCCGGGACCCGCGTGTTCTCCGGGCGCGGCGGGGTCGCTCCGGGTGATGCTCGCACCGCCATCGGCCGCTCGTGGACCGGGCCCTCCGGGCGCGCCGTGAGCGGCCCCCGCCGTGCCGGGGCTGCGGCCGGCGCTGCCCCGCTCCCCTGGGTGAGGGGCGGCCGGGGCTGCGGCCCCGCTCCCCGCCGGGTCCCCGCCGCGCCGCGCCCTCCCCCGGCTCCCGCCGCCTCCCTCCCCTTCCTCCCGCCTCCCCGCCCCCGGCTCCGCATCGCCGCGGCCGGAGCACACGCCGCCCGCCCGAGGATGCTCCGCGCTTTGTTCGCCCGCCGCAGGTAGGGCCCGGGGCGGCGGGGCCGGGCCGGGCCAGGCCGGGCGGGGGCGGCGGGGCCGGGGCGGCGGCGGGGCCGGCAGAGGCGGCGAACAAAAGCGCCGTGCAAAATGGAGCCAGCGGAGAAGGGCTGGACCCCCGCCCTCCCCGCCGCGCATCCCCCCGCCCGCCTGCCGGGGCTTCGCGGGGGCGGCATCGCCCCCCGCTGCCGCCGGCGGGGCCCGGGCCCGGCGTGGGGAGGGGACCGGGGCTGGAGCGGGGCCGGCGGCGAGCGCTGGGCAGGGCGTGGGGAAGGAGCGGGGCGGCGGGGAGAGGCGGTTCTGTAAAACACTTTCCCCCTTCTCTCTGTCAGCCTTTGGGAGGACTCTCGTCCTGACTCGCTGAAGGTTCCTCTCCCTCTTCCCCCAGCCCCTCATCCGTGCTCGGCGCGGCAGCCCACCCGGGCGGGCACCCCATATCAGCCCTCTCCCGTGCGCCGGGGAAGTTGCTGACATGCCTGCCGCCGGGTCCCGGTGCACCGGCAGCGGCGGGGAGCCGGATTTAAAGGGGAATTGTGCTGCAGACAATGCACAGCAGCAGCATCTGGAGCAGCCCTGGGGACCGGAGCTCCGGTTTTGACATTGCTGCACACACAGAACCAGCCGCAATGACAGCAGCTGCCTGGAGTGGCTGCAGGCAGCAGGCAGGAGCATGAAGTAGAGCGATCACTGCAGTGCTCAAGATGAACTCCTCTTTGGTTGGCAACCAGAGTGGCCGGCCCTTCTGTCTCCTGGCCATTAGCTATTTGGAGACCATCAATTTTTGCCTCCTGGAAGTGGTTATTATTGTGTTCCTCATGGTGCTGATTATTTCGGGCAACATTATTGTGATATTTGTCTTTCACTGTGCACCTCTGCTGAACCACCACACCACCAGCTACTTCATCCAGACTATGGCGTATGCTGACCTCCTGGTGGGCGTGAGCTGTCTGGTGCCTTCTTTGTCTCTGCTGCACTATCCTATTGTTTTGAGTGAGTCCTTGGTTTGCCAAATCTTTGGTTACGTGGTGTCAGTGCTGAAGAGCGTCTCCATGGCCTCCTTGGCCTGCATTAGCATTGACAGATACATCGCCATCACGAAGCCGCTGACCTACAACACGCTGGTTACCCCGTGGAGGCTGCGAATCTGCATCCTGACCATTTGGCTCTACTCCTGCCTGGTCTTCTTACCCTCCTTTCACTGGGGAAAGCCTGGATACCACGGGGATGTGTTCCAGTGGTGCGCCAATTCCTGGAACACCGACCCCTATTTCACCCTGTTCATTGTGGTGATGCTCTACGCCCCGGCCGCCTTCATCGTCTGCTTCACCTACTTCAACATCTTCCGCATCTGCCAGCAGCACACCAAGGAGATCAACGAGAGGCGGGTGCGCTTCAGCTCCCAGGATGGGGAGGCTGGGGAGGCACAGCCCTGCCCGGACAAGCGCTATGCCATGGTCCTGTTCCGCATCACCAGTGTCTTCTACATCCTGTGGTTGCCCTACATCATCTATTTCCTGCTGGAGAGCTCCAATGTCTACAGTAACCGCGTGGCGTCCTTCTTGACCACTTGGCTTGCCATTAGCAACAGTTTCTGCAACTGTGTCATTTACAGTCTCTCCAACAGTGTCTTTCAGAAGGGGCTGAAGCGCCTCTCGGGGGCCATCTGTGCCTCGTGCGCTAGACAGAGGGTAGCCAAGGACTCCTCTACCTCCAGGAGCAAAAGATCTTCCAATGGATGTCATGTCTAGGACGCCCGTCAGCTGGACTGGGAAGTGCAGGGACGATTCCGCAAATTGCGAGATAAGTTAGATAGGTTTTTAAGATGTCCAGATTTGCAAAAAGGTTTCTGAGAAATGCTGCTGACACAGAAGAATCAGGAGCACATGTCGTTGTGGTTTCGCTTTAAAAAATGATTGCTGTGGAGGAGGCTGTGGAGTTTCACCTCCATATTCGTTTTAAAGAATAAAGCTGTATCTTGACACTTACCTCTCCAGCTGGTGTGACTGAATGGAGTGGGTGTCTGAGAGCTTCGGCAAAATGCAGTCTTTCTTACAGCTTTACTGGGTTCTTTGGAGATTCGTGCTTCACATGTAAATGATAGAGCTGAAGTGGAAATGTCACAGTCTATGGTATATTACAGGGATTTTTTTAATATATGCCAAAGTATATTGACACAACGTTCCAGCGTCAGAACAGAAGGGGCCAAACAATTTGTTTTTCAGTGCTACCTAGACAGGACTTGTAGAACAGGAGTGAACAATGTGAACATTTCAGTGTGAACTCAGTTTTAATGAGCCGTGAGTGCAGCGATGTGATCTGAGCAGTCGGAGGCTTGGGGCCGATCTGGGTCCGTGCCCTGTTTCCCTGGTAGGATGCATGTTTGGATCAGAGTGTGGCATCTGCGTTTTCCTGTTTGTTGTGAAGTAAGAAGAAAAACTTGGATCAGACCAAATTTAGCAGTTAAATAAAATGTGTTTTGATAAGCTATGAGAAAATACGTGTTGCTTTATGATACCAGAGTTGTGGCAACCACTCGAGGCTGATGCCAACATGTGAAAATTATTCTCAAACCAGTGGAGAAATGCCACGGGTTTGGATGTGGAAATTTTCTCAAGAACAACTTTAAAAATAACATGTCCCTTTTTTTTTTTTAATCTAAATTCTTCTGATATTTTACATACTAGAACTTAAGGGGAAAGGAAAGAAAACAATTGTCTTCTAAACAGCTAAGGGAACTATGTTGTAAATTTAACTGTAGTATTTGAGTTATTCATAAGTGCACAGAGCTAAATCAGAGACATTTTTCTTTAGCCTTCATGGGATTAAAGATGGTTCAAATATAGCAGGAGCTAAATCCTGTTGGCAAACACATATCTGACTGGTCAGACAAAGGCAATATCTGAGAAACCAAATCTCACTGACCACATTGTTCGAGCTAGCCTAGATTAAATGTTTGGAGTACTGGAAAGCTGTTAAGAAGGCAGTGTGGCAGAATTGTTGAGTTTTTCCTAAAGAATATCCTTGTATTTTTTCTGATGCCATTTTGGAAAATGGAAGCGAACCAAGTGTTCCTGTAACAGTGGGTTAGGTTGTATTGTCCTGTGGCAGCCTGTCCCTCCACCACACCTGCTCTGAGGGCAGGTTGTGCATCCCCGTGTTTATCCCTCCTTGGTGCTGTGAGCTCAGGGAATTCCCTGTGCTGCTCTGGTACAGCTGGTGTGTGCTGTTAGTCACAGTGGGAACGAAGAAAGCTTAGGGAAAAGGATCATTTTAGAATTGGGGGGGATTCTCTTGGCCGGAGGGAAGACTCTGTGTTTTTGTTAAATGGTGTCAGACTGTCTGTTGTTCTAGATCAGGATCATCTTTTCAGTGTTCTGCCCTGTCCCTCCAGCAATCCCCCCTCCTCCTCTCTGCTCTGCTGGGAGCCCTTTGCCCTGGAGGATCCCAGCCCACGTCTCTGCCCGTCACATGCCAGGATTGCTACAGTCCCTGCTGCCCATCCACATTTGCTCCAGAACCATCTCCTGGGGCTGCCCGTGAGGAAACAGGGAAGGGCAGAGAGAGCAGCAGGATGGAGCACTCCTGGCACAGCACAGCCTGTGCTTGTGAGCACTCAGTGCTGATGCACTCGGTTCCTCTCTGGGGTGAGTGTGTCCCTGTTCTGGGGAGGATGGGGCACAACCCCTGCGGCTGCCGCCGCCTTCCCTTGGGGACCCCAGCGGCAAAGCATTTACCCTGTATCTTGATCTGCTCCCAGCATGTTCCCTCCACAGCCCAAACCTCTCAAGATAAACTTCCTCCTCAGTTCACCTGATATTTTAAGAGCACAGGCTGTGTAAACCCCGCTGGCTTCCCGTGGCATGTCCTGTTGTCCTCTGTAGTAGGACAGAGTCTGGAGCCGGGGCTCGTGCCGGGTCCTGCAGACACGGCAGAGGTGAATTGTTCTGCAGAGCCCTCGCAGTCTGAACGTTGGTTAGACACAGACAGCCGTGGGGGGAGTGCAGGGGTGTAGTGAGTCATTTCTGAGGGGTATAATAAGCTCCCAGCACATCAGCTGGCTCATTGTTCTCCAGCGGTTTGTGGGTATTGTGGCAAAGGTGGGCTTTGGGGAACAATTTAAGGGCTTTAGTCACTAATATCAAAGTGTGTGTGTGTGTGGTATTTTTGGAACAGCCTCTCAGGTAAACTCCCAATAGCTTTTCTCTGCTCTTCACCTTATCTAACATTTCCAAGTCTTTGAAGTGATGCAATGTATCATTGAAATAGCATTTGATTAAAACTTAATGGAAGAGAAGAATCTGCTGGGGCCTAAAACCCCAGAAATGGCAGTTTCAGGTTTAAGTGGAAGCAAAGACTGTTGCTTCTGGTTTTTTTCATGAATAGGGGGTTTACATAGTATCATTGTGTGCTAGTTTTGGAGAATTTGGAAAATTTTTAAAACTGGTAAGGGGTCTAAATCGTGGCATAGAGGTTTAACTGCTTCTGAGCCTGGAATTGTGCTTGGAGCACAGTGACTGTTCCAGATGCAGATCCATGCCTGCAGCTGTTGCTGCTTTGCAGCAAAGGCTCAGTTCTACATTCCTGACAGCCAGGCTGTTTTCAGTTGCCTTACTCATCTCCAAGTCTTCCTCAGCTCAGATAATCTCTGGGAGAGGTGAAAATCGGAATCTGGAAGTCTCCAAGAGATGAGGATGGAGAGGAGTTGCAGCCCATTGGTGCATTCAGGTTTCATCCAGTGTTTGTACAGACACTTTTAGTGTTGCCTCAGTAGCTTATTTTTAGGTTCAAGTATTTATCTTTTTGTCTGTGTTAATTTATTGATTTTTTTTTTCTTAATTTAAATTACGAGGGTGTTTTTTTCCTCGAAGTTAATTTAATGTTGATGTAGGTTTGTTTGTGATTAGATGGTTTAAGTATTCATACCATCAGAGCCTGTTGTCTTCAGTGGAACTGCAGGGGTGACTCCCGTTCACTGTGCCAACTGGAAGGAATAATTTTGCCATCTATTCCATTGTTTGCTCAGCAGCCCGTTGGGCACCCTTTGTCGTGCAGCTCACACGAGGCACAGGGGTCCTTCCCATCACAGGCTGTGCTAGGAGTTGTCAACAGCAAACTTTGCAGTTGGCTCCTTCTCATCCTTGTGCACATGGAGCTAATCCTTCCCTGGCCCGGTGTGTGTCCGAGTGTGCTGCAGAGCTCTGCACAAATAAATGCCACTGAGGAGAGCACAGAAATCAAATTACAGCTTCGTGAAAATTGGGTTGTGATGTGATTAAACGAACTAATTTTGAAGTTCCATCTCAGACTATAAACTGATTTTTTTATTAGGGTTATCTGCCTCGCTCTCAAATTAAGCTGCTGGAAGGTTCAATTCGCAGGACGCAATTCAGTGGCTTTTTTTAGTGCCATGGGAAGGATTTCGATGCTCACAACTTCTCAGAAGGTGATAATTTGCTTCATCTAGAACACTTTATTCTTTTTAAGGATTACTGGAAGTTTAGGTTGTGGTTATTTTGTCATTTTCCAAATAGACTGGGAGAATATCTGGGAAATATTATTTTTTTATGATCTCAGTCAAGTGACAGTATTTTTAAACTCAACAGATATGTTTTATGTAAAACAACAGTTTTGCTGTTATCTACTGCTAGGTTGTTTTTTTTTTTATTAAATGTTACCAGTTTCTTCAGTCTTGATTTGTTGTTGGGGATTTTGTACTTGTTTCTAAGCTTCTTGTGGCTCAGAAATGTGTTTCTTCTGGTTGGAATTCTGACATGGCTCGGTGTCAGAGTGCCAAGGGGCAGCCTTGGATGTTTGTCACAAGGAAGAAAGTGGTACAAAGTACTAAGGCACAGAGAATGACAATCTCCAAACTGCACCCCTGGGGCATTGTCCCTGCCCTCTCACAGAAAGGTTTTACGTGTAAGAATCCTAAATTTCAGCAGTTTGTTCGAAAAAAGGCACTTGCAAGGCCTGGATGTGATGCGAGATGGAAACATTCAGTGTGCAAATTGAATATGCAGATTTTTTTTGCTTTTTATTGTGGTGTTCCCAACTGCTGCAGTGAGCAAGGATGTAACTCCATGAGTTGGGAAGTCTGAAGTGTTTCAGTCTCATCTTCCTTCCCATCAGGGTTGGAAGTTGACAGAACTTTTCCTAATTGAGGTTGATGCTTTAAAAAAAATGTCCCAGGAACCAACCAGTGTGTGAGTACAGGAATCTGCCTTGAGCCATTACAAACAGAAGGCCCATTTAACATTATTCTGATTACTTGACTCATCCACTGTAGGTAACTTTAGCTTAATAAGAGGAGGTGGTGGTTTTGGAGGGCTTTTGTTGTCGTTTTAACGCCTTTTTGGTGCTGAGTACTTGAAGCACCTGCTGAAACATTGGCCTGACTTGGCCCTTATTTTGTTGCTTGGTTTAGAAATGTTTTTCTTCCCTTCCAGGACTTTGCAGAATACAATGGCACATCCTTCCCGTGGTGTCATTCAGGATAAACTTGGATTTTAATGCACATTTATCCAAACGTTGTCTTTAATATTCTTTACCAGATGAATGCTGTGGGGTGTGTGGGGCTGTTTTTTTTTTCTGTGACATCATTTTCTAGAGAAATGAAATGTTTGCTTTTGGAGGCAGCTTTGCTGATGGTTCTCCACGCAGTACTGAGTTCTGTCACCTCTCAGCTCTTACTCCTGCTGCAGAGTTGGTAACAAGCCCCAGTCTGTGTCTGCTCTGCAGGCCTGTAGTGGTAGCTGCAGATGGAAGTGGTTGTGAATCTCTCCCATATCCCATTTACATCTCTTGAGCTTTAGCAGTTAATGAAAACACTGACAGAAGTGATGTTCCTGTATCCTGATCCAGCTTTAATTACAGCCTCAGGTGTACTCCAGCAATCTGTGCAGGCAGAACTGACCCTCTAGCTGGTGACTTTGTAGTTATTTCAACTGAGAAATAGAAGTTGTTATTCACAATCCGTCTTTGTTTCGTCCTGAAGCTGTTCTGGAGGAGTGTCCCAATGCCCGAGCTGATCAAAGGCTGTGCAGGCTCCGCTCCAGGACAGACCAGGAGGCACCAGGTCCCTGGGACTGACGCCTGTGCACAGGTTGATATCCAGGACCTTTATTTGCTGAGAAGATTTTAGAAATACTGAGTGGATGCAGATTGCATTGGACTATAGGATGTGGGTTTAGGTAGACAACCATGTTTTGAAGTTGGTGATCACTGCTCCACCTGGGCAGTACCTGGGTGTGAGGCACCTGAGAGTGGAGCACAGGGTCCCCTTGGGGGTTGGAAGGACCAGGGAGTCCAAACTGCCTGTTCTGACTGCTTTCTAATTAGGAATTTGTAAGATTCTGTAATTCAAAGCTTTGGCTTCTCTCTGATGGTCATTACTGGAGATCCTTTTGTTCAAAGGTGACATAAATTCAAGTGACTCCTCGGAAAGATGAACTCAAATCTTGCCGTGCGTATGCGAGTCGTTCTCAGCGTGATCACGTGAGTCAAGCAATCAAATGCTTAATAAACCAAGGCATTACTTTTATGGTAAATTGAAAAAAGTTCTTCTGGGATTTCAGCTGTAAATGAATCCTTGAAAATCAATAATTAGATTAGTAAAGGATGACATTTTAATATGCTGGCAGGAATATAGAGGGATTTGTCAGGGGAAGCAAAACCAGACTTTGCACTAAAGTGGCTTAGGTATATTTATAGTGCTAGTGATTCTCTGTGTGTGTGTGTGGAATCTTTGGACTATTTTAATATAACGTAAGGCTTTGAGCTTTAGCTGACTCAAGTTGCTCGTTTTATGAAGTTACATTAGTACCACACTGTGAAGTATTTTTAAATATTAGCATTACTGAGTATTAAAAGTATTTCATAAAAACATTTTTTAAAACGTTTTCTGTAGATGCTGTCAAATGAATTGATGTTTAGTGTACAAAGAAATAAAACCTGAGGGCTGTAAGGTACCTGTGTGTTTCTGATCACCTCAGTTTTTGAGGGGTTAGGTATTTCTTGAGGTTAAATTGTCACTAAAACCTACTAAAAATAATGGTGCAGTTAATCCTTTCAGGGGACAGGAAGCAGCATTACCTCCAGCCGTGCTTTTGAACTGTCTGAAAGGATTTGCAATCATGTGTGTTGTCTTGACAGACCTGTGTCTTTAGAAATGCTGTACAGCACAGTCTTTTGCAGGTCCCTATGCTGATACATTTCTCTCCATATGTAATCTTTGAAATCCAGTTTCTATTGTAATTCTAGCATGTAAACACTAGATTCAATTTTGTATTCCTCTAATGAATGCAACAGGATGGAAACGAGTTTGCAACTGCTAATGATGAACTTTTTTACTGTTCTTAATACTCGTGGGTATGTCTTTTCTTCAGGGATTTCGAACTTGTATTCGTACCTTTTTTAATTGTTCTTTTCACCTGCTGTTTACAATTAAAGGCGAGCATGGGAGGCTGTGCCTGCATGTGCTTTTAGGTTGCTTTGCTGAAGGAAACACAGTGGAGTGATCTTACCTTAAAACCTCTCTGCTGCCCAGAGAGGCTGTGGGTGCCCCGTCCCTGCAAGTGTCCCAGGCCAGGTTGGAGCAACCTGGGCTAGTGGAAGGTGTCCCTGCCCGTGGCAGGGGGTTGGAATGAGATGGGATTTAAGGTCCCTTCCAACCCAAGCCGTTCCATGATTCTGTGATGCTCGTTTTCCTTGTGTCCCACCCCTCTCCTTGCGCCTTCCCAGTCCCTGGTACAGCAGAAGCCACCAGTTATTTGGTGCATTATCTGACCTCTGTCAGAGGGTTGTTACAGGGGTTTTGGGAGACAGTCCAGCTCCTTCCCCCAGTAGTGTTCCAGCTGGTAGTTTTTCCCTGAGTGTCAGTGAGAGGGCCAAGAACGGATAAAATCCCAGGTAAGAATGTGTATGTGTGTGTTTGTAAGAACTTGGTGCACCTTCAAATGCTGGAAATTGTTTTGTATTAGAAGATGAGAAAGAGCTGTGAGTGTGAAACGCCTGCTAGGAGGAACTCCAGGAAAACATCCACCCAAACAGATTAGAAAAGCAAACAGGTGAATTAGAGCCTGTCCAACCCTTAAGAGTCTCTAATGCTGGTTTAGTTCTGACCCAGTGGGGACTGTTGGGGTGTCGGGGGGGCTCCTCCGTGGCCCCTCCTCTGGCTGGCTCTGCTCTGCTTTGTACCTGCACAGGAGGGGGATGGTGAAGATGGGTGTGTTCATACACAAGGCAGCTTGGGCAGAGTTCTTGTTGTGGCTCCAGAATTACCTATTTTGTGCCAACTCGGAACTGTTGTTAAAATACAGGGCAGAGGGTTCTTCCCCCCCACCGTTTTAACAGACATTTCTGTAGCTGATTTTTCAACGAAGACTAATAATAAGAAAAACTAGAGTTGAGCCAAAAAAGACAAATGTTACTGATTTAAAATAATACTTGCATATTTTTAATTACTAAATGGAACTAGATAAATCGGAAGCATGTAAATATCTGATTCTAGATCTTTGCATAACTATTTCCAAGAGGTAATTTTGCTATGAGCTATTAAAACTCAAAGAAATGTATTATTCCCTTTGAGGTGGTCTGTACCCCCAGCTGTGTCATACATCTCTTGGCTTGATCCCTTTTTGCTGTAGATGTACATATATATATATATATTTGTGTGCTGTGCAGCTGTACAGTCACTGCCACGTTGGATTGATTGTTTTAAAATAGGTATCTCTGTGTACTTTACAGGTGTGTGTATGTGTCTCTCCAAACAAGCAATTGAACACGGCAGTAGCTGTACAGTCACAGAGTTTAGGGCTTTGTACAATATGTAATTTTAAGAATGTCAATGTGGTTCTTAGCGGATTTTATAAACACTTTTCTGAATCTGTTATCAGCACTTCCCATCCTAAGAGAAACTGCACATTTTTCAGTGATTGTTCCACTGGTTACATTTTTGTCTGCCATTTGTTCTGGATTGATGTAATCTTGATACTACTACAATTTCAAGGGCTGTTGACGCATTTCACATAGCCTAGGATTGCCTGTTCTCCAAATATATGGATCATGCATCAACAGTACTAAGTAGCCTTACTGTTTGCCTAAAAGCCTAGCTAATTTATTTAATACTCTCTCTTTAAAGAGAGGTCTCTGGAAGGGGTGGCATATTTTAGGATGCTCCTTCTCTTTAAAGGGAAACTCTGAATTGACTAGCAGTACTCGTTGATCAGTGATATTATTGTAGCCAAAGGATGCATGGGTGGTTTAATAGGAAGTTTTTGCTTCAAGTTCCTTGATGAAATGTAGTGTTCTACAGAGCTGTGTGAAGAGTGTAGTTTTTTATTCTGAAATGCACTTGTACACTTTATTTGAAAGGTCTGAATGGATCATAAATACATTTAAGAAATAAATGATAACGTCACATGTTTTCACGCCTTGTCTGGGGTGACTTTTGTGTGTGTGCTGGCACAGGTGTGTTCCTGGCCCCTGGCTGGGGCTTTTTCCTCTTCTCTTGATTGCTGCAGACAGTCTGGAGGTGCCAGGAGCGGGCAGACCTCGCGGGCTGTTTGTGTTTGTGCCCTGTCCATCCCTGCTGGAGGGCACTGTGGGCAAACTCCGCGCTCTGATTTTCCTGTGGGAAACTTGAGCCCTAAAAGGAAACGAACGGAGCGAAAGGGCTGGATATCACAAGGGATTCACTTTTATTTTTAGAATTGCACTATATTGCCATATTTGGCCTGAAAGTATGCTGTATCAATGCACTATTGTGTCCAGTTGCAGTTGTCTAACCATTCCAAATTTGTCTAAATTATTCAGGTTTTTTTCCACAAATACTGTTTTTCTGTGGATGTTCTCAGTAAGTGCTGACTCCAGGTAACTCTTCCATTCTGTGGGCAGCATTCCTTGTGGGAAGTTAACAAGTTCATTTCTCTGAGAGTGGGGTTTGTGACACTTCCTTAAGGTCTCAGTAGCAGGTGTAATTCCTCTTACCAAAACCTTCTCCAGCGGTTTGGGCGAACACAAATGCAGGAAATGCGCTTTGTGGAAAAGTCAGTGCAAATATTGCCTAATGAAAGTAATTTTGGGATTGCCATCAACCTGCAAAACAGCCCAGGTGACACAGTGTCCTGCTAACACTGAAAACAGCTATCAAAAGACCTTTTGGTATTTTTGAATGTGCTTAAAATACACAGATCTGCTCGACATAACTGATCCCCACCGTGTAACGTTCCCCGTGGTGCTGCCCATGAAATTCGCTGGGCTTTGGCTCTTGCTGGGTGTGCTGGAAGCTGCCCCTGGCTCGGTGGCTCTGGGATGGCCTGTCCCTGCCTTGCAGCAACACACCACGTGCTGATCTGACCCTGGGCAAAGCAGGGCAAGTTCCACTGATGGATCCAGTCTCCAGACCCTTCCCACAGTAATCTCTGACCGTGTGACAGAATTCTTGCAAAGTCGGGGGAACCTTCCTGAGGAATGATTGCAATGTGGAAATGGATCCCATTGTGGCAAGAGTGAGGGTCAGGCACAGCTCGGGTTTGTGGTGGGTGTGTCAGATAACTCACCCAGTGAGCAGAATTCCACATTTGGAATCGTTCTGGGGGTTGGGGCAGGAGGAATCTAAAGTTTGGACCTCACAGTTTTTCCCTTTCCATGTTGTTTTTGAAGCCAAGCTGTGTCCAGGTGAAGGTTTTATACCCCCATCCCATTTCTCCAGGAGCCTGGTGCGCCAGGAGTCGATCTGTGGATGATGAGCCATTTCCAGCAGGCAGCTCCCTCTGTTCTCTGGAGATCTGTTTCTTCATTTTCTAGCACCACAGATCTTGTCCCTGCAGCAATTCTTTGCTGCTGCTTCTTCATCCTCTTGGGTTTATGTAGGGGATTAGGAGGAATAAACCTGAGCTGCTGAAAACTGCAAGTAGATCAGCCCCAAGAAGAGGTTCTGGGAACTCCAGCTCTTCCAGGGCTCTGATTGTGCCTTCAGCTACAGAAAAAGCTTCCAAAGTAACACAATCTCACTGTGAAGATGCTGATCAAGTCTGTAACTGCATGGTATGGTTTGCACATCCTGGGATGCTCCCAGGAAGATTGCAAAAATACAAGGAAAACGCCTTTTAAGTGGGACAAGTTTAGGAGGTGGGAACCAATACGCTTTTCTGTACAGACTGACAGGATAGATGGGCTTTTCCCTGCTGGACTGTGTCCTGCTTTCCATAATTACTCACATAGTTTCTCTTTAAATCAACTGGAGAGGAAGGTTTTGGTATAACTCCCCTAATATTTTAAAGTGCAGCAAAGAAGGGGAGGAAAGGTATGTTCTGAGTCTGAGCATCTGCATTTTCCTGCTTTCCTTCAGAGCAGCAAACTGTTATGAGAATTTTAATCTTCACTGCACTCGCCTGAGTTCTCATGGCTGGTTTCCATTCTGTTTTCTTTACTACTTTCTTTTTCTTCCTGTCATTCTTAGCTTTCTATTTTTCAATCCCAGTTTGTGAAGGGTGTGGGTTCAGAAGGGTTTCCTTCAGTTCCCAGTCCCCTGAAAGCATGAGAAATTGCCCATTGAGCCAATTCTCACAGCAAGGTATAAAAATAGGAGTAAAGAAAAGGTTACACAATGCTTGGATTGCAGCAGTTTGTACTAATGGGGAGATTTCAAAGCCACGGTTTTTGGAAAACATTTTTAAAACCTTATCATTTCCGTTGATTTTTCTCTCCCCAAGCTGTGCTTCAGCTGCAGGAACTGGAGTTACAGATTGCTGGAGGAATTGTACTGAAACACAAGAGTCAAGTGCTGACCAAGTCACGCAAAGCCAGAGAGGCCACTAATTAGTTCTCTTTAGCCATAATGAGTGATTGGTTTGAGAAGCCTCTCTTAAGAGTTTCCAACCAGATGCTCTGGTCTCTGCTGCTAAATAAGTGGATTAAAAGGCAAGTGGATTTGAGGTTATGTTGCCGTTGCAGCAGAACAGGTGACACTCGGGAAACCCCCTTGTGTGGTAGCAGAGCTGCTGGCAGTGACCTGAGCTCCTGCAGAGGATTGGCTGCAAGGCAGCCTTGCAAACTCTTCAGAAACTGAAGTCATCACTAAGACTGCATTCACATGTTTAAAGTTTTCAGGATTGTTTCTGAGCATTGTCTTTCTCCGCTTGCAAAACATGCTGAAGCCAACACCAGCCATTAGTGTCCTTGTCTCTCACTTAAAAGATAGATGTTTATGTGAAATTTATTGAGCATTGGATTTTGTTTGTTTCTGATTTCCTTTTAATGAGACAGACTCTTTAGCATGTTAATTATTATCAAATTGGAATGCTGAACAGTACTTTTGATATAATTTCCCAAACAATCTGGTAACTTGATTCTAATAGCAGCGTAATGCTTTCCTAATGAAATGTCTGTATTAAGCCCCAGAGAGGAGCATTAACCTTGGATTAAAATCAGAAGAGAAAATGAAGCACACTGTGGTAATTTTGTTGTTTTTGTTGTTTGCAAAATCCTTTTGTGAGGAGAAAGAACTACAAGCTCTGCTGAACGATCTTCACACTGATTACATCGTGTACTTTTTTTACCATCTTTTACTTCTAATCTTTTTCCTGTTTGCTACAGAAACATGGGTCATTTGGATGGAGTAAACGACTTTTTTTGTTATTGTTGAGCTTTCCAAGTGCCCAAGGCATCTGAAACTGGTGGTGTCAGAGTGGCGTGGAGAGCAAAGTTCCATCTTCCTCATGCTGGAATCACCGCTCATGATGATGTTTTACTGGGCAGTACTTTGTGGGGCTCATGCTCAGACTTTTCTGTAGCTGAATTCTGAGGGGGGATGCAGAGTGGTTTCTTAGCTGAACCTCAGGGACAGGATTGTGGACAGCAGCTGCTTACAGCTGACTGTCACTGCCTGCAGTGGGGAGAGAAAGGAACGTGCTGGGCAGCACTGGGGATCAGGAGTGTCCAGGGGAAGGCTCTGCACTGCAGTGGCCTGGGACACGTGTGTGTCTGTGTCTGTGTGTGTGACCTGCCCCTCCCTGCCCATTCCCAGATGTGTGGAGGTAACCAAGTTACCCAGACTGTGATGTGGAGCTGCCAGCCTGCTCTGGCGGAGTAGGCTGTGTTTTGTTAAATTTAGAACAGTGCACAGAACCCAGTGCCAATCTTCCAACTCTCAGTCCTAGCATTTGTAATTTATATTCTTTTGATGGGTTTTAATTTACATATTATGTTCTTTTTCTAACAGGAGTCTCCACAAGACAGTGCCATCACCCGAGACATCAATCGAACGTTCCCTGCTCATGATTATTTTAAAGATACTGGGGGGGATGGCCAGGACTCCCTGTACAAAATATGCAAGGTATTCTTTAAATTCTTCTGGGCTGCTTTTGGTAGCTTGCCTTCAGCACCACTGACAGATGTGATGGTAGGTGAGAAGAATGGGGATGTGTTATCACTGCCTGTCTTGGAGACAGACTCTGGCCCTGGCTCAGCCTGTTCCTCAGCGGAGCTGCTGCCGGTGGCACTCAGACAGGACACGTAAAGCCCTCCTGGATTCCTGAACACTGAAGTGTTTGGTGCAGAGGCCTCCCATGATTCCAGACCTGTCAGCCTGGATCAAGCTGGACAAATGATGTAACTGGAGATAACTGTGCACCTCCCATAAATGTTATAAAGCCACAGACAGGCACTGAGGCTGCTTATTGACAGGAGGAACTGAGCAGGAATGGACAGCTCACTGTGTTCAGTCAGCTGCAGTGCTTTAGTCTTCCTGCACTCTTTGTATTCCTGGTGTTTCTCCCTCTTCCTAATGTCCCTGTGGCACCTGTTTCCAGGTGAAAGTTTATAGACCTGTGTTCAATGAGTGTTTGTTTTGTTTTCTTTGTGTTTGTAGCTTGAGACAGAAGTAAAGAGTTGATTCTTTTTTCAGGCCTACTCTGTCTATGATGAAGAGATTGGCTACTGCCAAGGCCAGTCGTTTCTTGCTGCTGTGCTGCTGTTACATGTAAGTGCTGGGTCTGCCCTCATTTGCTTGAAACCTAACAATAATTATAATTATTGCTCTGCTTTGCCTGGAACAACTCCTGAACTGGGGGGGTTGCAGGGCTAACATTCACCTGTGTGTTGGTCAGTAATAATGTGGGTTTACACAGAGAAGAGTGCATTGTTTAAAGCCTCCTGTGGTGTTTGGGAGGACTCTGGCTCTGCAGTCACTTCATTCCCTGAGTTCCTGTTCCAGACCCTTTCCATTCAGGCCTGTACTCACCAGCACTGGTAGGCATGAAATCTGTGGATGTGACAGCACTGTACATGTTTTGTTACAGGGTTTCAAGGTCACATTTAAGCTTTTTAGGAGGTGTTTCCATTGGAATCAGTCAGAAATATGGATGGAAATTGGCATGTCCTGTATACACAGGAGAGTGTGGGGCACTGAGGGGATGATGTCAGTCAG